CCGGCAGCATGGCCTTCATCTTCAAAAGGCCGCTGTCACCCCAGCCCCTCACGCCCACCTGCAGCCTGTCTGCAAACCCACAGCCGCCGTGGCCTGGCCCCTGGGCTGCCCCACTGCCCTTCAGCATTGCTGGCCTGGACTTGAGCCACCCGCCTTGCACCTGCGCCCGCCACCTCAGGGTCCACCCACCCCCAGCCTGGACTCCGTGTGGCCCAGTCGCACACCCTGGGTCCAGTCCGGCCAAGCTGACTCCTCCTGCCCAGGGTACTTGGGATGAACCCAAATAGGGTTTAATAAGTCCAGAGGGACTTTGGTGCTTGTTCTCACAGACAGACACAGGTACACGACAGACAGCAGCGCAAGCCAGGCCACTCCCGAGAAGGGGAGGGCGCAGGGCTGCAGGAGACGGCAGAACACACCAGCACAGAACCCCTCCAGGCCCTGGCAACAGAGGGCAGGCGGGGAGGGACACAGTAGACGCCCCTCCCATACAGAACACACCCACAACAGACAGCGAGGCCTTGAAACGATATCTGGGATGCCATAGCCAGGGCCCCACCGGGCCATGCTGCCAAGCTGGGCTCAGGTGCACCCGGCCCAGTACCCATGGAGGAGCAGGTGCCCACCCCACAGGCTGGCGGGCGCCCATGTGTGTCAGAATGTTGCAGGAACAAGTTTCTAGTGATTTGCCCCTGGGGGCCTGGGTCACCCTTCTCAGGCAGGGGCTCTTGGCACCTCTAGCCCTGCCTCCTTCCCAGCACAGACCCAGGATATGGGTGGGCCACAGCCTTGAAGGCAGAGAGGGTGGGACCCACATGCCTCCCCAGGCCGCCCCTGGCCTCCTGCTCCCTTGCCCTCTGCTGCCCCCTGGCGGGAAAATCCCCCCTCGCAGGTAACCCACGCCCAGGGAGGGGCCAAGAGACGCACCTGGCCTGACACACCTTGTTCCTGCAACCTTCTGCAGGGCCCAGGGCCTGACCCTCCCCTCTCCCAGCTACAAAGGGGGCACTGCCCATGGGCAGGAGAGCGTTGGCCGCCTCATCAGTCCAAGCAGAGAGCCGATGCCATTCCAGGTTCACAAATGGGGAACTGAGGATGAGAGCACAGTGAAATGGGCCGCCCAGCCAGGACCTGTCACCAATGCTCCAAGACCAGCCCCCGGAGCCAGCCCCAGCCCGGGGAGTCTGCATGCAACAAGCGCGGCATGCCAAGGGGCCCCTCCGCCCCACCCACACTTGTCCCCCGCGCCCCCTTTCTCCCTCCATCCATCCATCCGCTCATTCAGAACTGGCTTCTGACTCAGGGACTTCAGTAGCACTGTTTTCGAGTAACCCTGACTCCTGCTCGATAAGACTGACCTCCTCCAGCCCCGGGTATCCTGGTTGTGAGTCCTCACTCCTGCCTCCTTGTTTCCCCCACATCTTGCCCCCTTCAGCTTCTCACGCCTCCTGAACATTCATTTAAATCCAGGGCCACAGGGGTGACTCAGATGCCGCCCTGGCCCCACAGCCCACCTCTCGCTCACTCTTCCTCACCCTCAGGTGCCCTCCCTGTCTTATTTCGGGTACGTCTCACTTATTAGGCTCCTGCAAAATAACTGTTAGTCAAAGCCCCCCGAGCAAAAGGAACATCACTGGCCCTATTATCTGCTGACGTTGGCACCCTCCCTCCCGCACCCGGTCACCTGCCACTTCTATGTATTTATTCTTATTTACAAGCCTCAACTGCGCGGATCTTGCTGCAGTGCTGGGGGGCGGGGGGCAGCCTCATGTTCGGGCTGGGATCGGCTCTATTTTTCACTTAATCTTTGCAAGTGGGATGTATTTGTCCATTAAAGCAGTGTGTATGTCAACTAGTGGTCACCCCTGCTCAGACACCCTCTGGACTACCCATTTGTCACACTGGTGGTTTATTATCTTCCCTTTAACCTGTCTGGCTGCTGTGTGTCTTCCCTCCAGTCTCCCTCGCCCGGGGCGGGTTGGATCCTCGCACCCATCTTGGGGATTAATGGTGTCCCATCCCTCTCCCCACCAAGTCCTCTCCGCTAGACACACCCAATCCGGGTCACCTTGCATTTTCCCCCTTTCTTTCACAGCATTCCCCTCTGCCCCGCTCTGGCTCTCTCTGGCTCTCTGGCACCTTCTCCCCCCAAGGTTCCCTCTTGGACCCCAGGTGCCCAGGGTGAGATGAGCAGCAGTCCCAGGGGCACCGTCTCCAGGCTCAGCCTCGCATTTACATTTCTGATTCAGTCATTCGGTGTCCATCCATTCTCCCTGCTACTCTTTTATTCCAATATTTATTCTTTTATTTATGGACCTCAGGTGCACAGAATTGGATTAACCATACTCCGTGGTTCTGGAGGCTTCTCCTACCAGCCTGTTCGTTAATTCCTTGGGCTGGTGATTTGGTTTAGGATTTATTTAACTATCTCAAGAGCCCAGTTTTGAATTAGTCATAATTCGTGGCTCGAGATGGTGTCTCACATTCTCCTCCCAGCAAGGTCCTCCCTGCGCGTGGATGTCCACACTTACTGACTCGTTCGCTACTTTCTCACTGCTTGTCGTCTCCATCTATGTGATTTGCTCAGGTCCCTCATCTCTAGCTTTCTCTTTTTTGCATTTTTTTTATTATTAGGAGCCTCAGGTGCAGAACTGAATTAATTACAGTCGGCATTTCTCATTCATTCGGTCATTCCTCTATTTAGTCTTTCTTTGAGGTATGCAGTTTGCCTGCCCATAACTGATGGGCCTCTGCTTTTACTATTTATTATATTTAATGAATAATATCAGTTCATTATATTTAAGTACTTATCCAGTAAGTGCCTTCTTGTCTGTGTGTCTGTTTAGTTTCTTTTCCTGCACTGCTGTCCCCCAGTCTTTCCTTCAATTTTCCCAGCTCCCCCTTCTTGCCTGCTGCTCAAGTACATGTATTTCTTCTTTCAGTCTTTTATTTATGGCTGAGTTTTTGGGATTTATCTGCTTTGGGGCCACAAAGCTGAACCCCCGCGAATCATCTGTGCTGAACCAGCGCTCTCACGGACTTAATTGCTTGACCTACTTGTGTCTTTTTACCCCTTTTTTGCATTTTGATTTTTTCTCCTCTTACTGGCATGTTAAACACTCTCTCAATCTCTCTCTCTCTGCCTTTCATCTTCTGCAGCCTACACGGGCCTTGGGTGAACTCTAGCCTCTCCTGCCACGCCCTTCTCTTTTCCTCCTGCATTCACGTGTTCACACCTCCATCAGTCTTTCTATTTAAATCATCACTTTTGCACGTCTAGATGGCAGGTGCACCTAATTGGCTACATCATCATCTCGAGTCAATGGACCTTTCCCAGGCCCCCCCAAAGGTCCCCCTGACGTGTTTCAGCCTTGCGCTGTCGCCTGGGTGGGAGGGCACTGCCCGTCTCAGCACCCAGATGCCTGCACCTCCCGCTGCTCGCCCAAGAGCAGCCTCTGCCTCCTTTCTGCCAGATCCCCTTTCTTCTTCCTCCTTCTGCAGCTTCTTCCTAGTTCCCCTTGTTCGTCTCTCACTCTCCCATCTCCTTTCTTGCCCACCTGATCCTTCTGGAGCTCAGCTGCCAGGAACGGGAGTCAGAGTCACCTCCGCTGCCCCACCTGGGTGCAGAGTCTCCACCGGGGACGGCTGCTCTGCCCTTCCCCTGTGGGGCTCCCTCCTTCCTCTCCTCACCCCAGTGTGCCCAGCCCAGGCAGCCTCTGGTTCCAGTTAGGGTCACCTCAGTCCCCTGGGAGCTCCTTCCTTTCTGACCATCCTGTGCTTTCCTTGGCCAGGAGCACATGGGGGTCAAGCTGGAGGCCCGGTTTGCAGTAACCCGTCATGCTCCCCCCCTCACAGCTGCACGCCTCCCCGAATTCAGAACAGTCATTTCTTCCTTCCATTTATCATTTTTGCTTCCTTCTACTTCCCGGGATCCCTCTCATAAGAGAATCCTGGGATTCTCGCTCATAAGTCCGTCCCCAACATCAGGTTGTGGGGTGTTTTTCAGAGTTCTCTTCTCTTTATGTTTTTACTGAAATTGTATCCGAGAAACGAAAAGCTCTGCACAATCCATGTGCACGACTCCAGGAGCCGGGAGAGAAGCCCACTCTGAAAACCCACCACCACAATCCACGCAGGGGGCCCTCCTATCACCCCAAAGTTCCCCGCCCACTTATGGACAACAGCACCCCATCTGGTGACGAGGATGCTTCCTGGGAGCCCTGCCGTCTCTGCCAGCATTTATGGAGCATGTCACCGCGGTGCAGGCACCTGCAGTCCCCACTGTCACCCTTTCACTCAGGGCTTAGACTTGGGGTGGGCAGTGCTGGAATCAGAAATGCCCCTGTTCCCGGGCAAGCTGACGTGGGTGCTGGGACATGGCCCTGTTCACACACAGACCCCCGCTTGACTGATTGTAGGTCACTGTCCTGGGTGTCAGCTGGTCCCGGCCAGCCTGCACTCTCACCCTGGCCTACCGGTTTCTTTACCTGGTTCTTTGCTTCTCACCCCACCCTGCTCTCATTCATTCATCCATCCACACACTCATTTGGACAATGCAGTAGACCAGAGAAGTGACCTCCCACCAAGAAGAATAGAACATCCACATTCCCTGAGACCTCCCCACCGCCTCCCGAGGTGGCCACCGAGGTGTGCGGCCTCATCCTCGACACACGCGTGGCAGATGCAGGTGCAGGCAGAGGGGCTGCTCGTGCGGCCAGTCCCGCCCAGGCTCACGCCCGGGTAGATGGGCAGTGGGCGATAGCCCCGGGCCCCGGGCCCCGGGCCCCGGCCCCAGGCTGGCGGCCCTGCCCCTGGGCCCCAGAGTGGCCATCCCCATGAGAACCCTATTTCAAGACCCCGAGCACACAGAGACACACGCTGTACACAGCCCCCTGGTGGGAAACACGGACACAGTTCACTGCTAAATAGACGGCTTTGTGTGCAGCAACATAAAAATATTTTGGCCTTTCAAGGCAAATACAAAAGAAACTCCCCATTACCATTGCTGAGTGTCTCGGTCCCAACAATAAAGAACTTGAGGCGGTTTAGCCGGAAACTTTGAAGACAGAAAATCTGCCCGTTCTGTTTTCCAGACATTTCAAGGGGGAGAGCGAAGGTCATCGGTGCTCCAAGCCCATTGAGAGGCGGGTCCCTCGGCCTGGGCTTTTCCTGGCCCTCTCAAGGGCCCCCAGCTCCCAGGGCCACTTCCATCCTAGTCTGCCCTGCGGCACAAGAGGCAAAGGACACTCAATAGTGAAGGGCCGCTCGTTGGCAGGAGGGAAAGGGAAGACATTCTTTTGGGGTCCGGCCCTCTTAGCCGCCTATAGGATCCTTTTTGCCACAGAGACGACACAAGGGGGCTGGGGACCCTGCCTCAGCCCGCTGGCCCTCCACATCCACACTCAGTTCCCCGCAGGCACCCCCACCCCCTGCTCACCCATCCCCACCACAGGCTCGCCTGGCTGTGTGCTTGGGGGAGCAGCACCCCCACCCTCAGTAACAAGACCACAGATGTGTGTCCCACACTCCAGCAACTTACGATTCAGAGCTGGAGGGGGGTGCGGGGATCACGTGTCCAAGGTCCCTTCCCGTGGAGGATTCCAGAGGGTGACTTCGTCTGGAAGGAGAAAGCCCTGGGTCACTGAGCTGGAACCAGCGGAAGCGGGGATCCCAGACTGGGCATCAGTGAAGCCGGCGTTTCTCTGTCCCACCCCTGGCCCTGCGCTCACTCACCTGCAGACTCCCCACCGGGCACCAGCAACACGGGAAGAGGACGGGGCAGTGCCCGCTCACAGGACACGGCCCCTGACCCAAGACCTCAGACTGATGCCCACAGGCCTAAGTGCTGCCTCGGGGAACCCAAAGGTGCAGGGACCCCGCAAGAGCAGGAGAATGCCCCTGGAAGAGCCTCCAACTCTGGAAGGGCACCAACGAGCCAGGGGTGCACATGCAGGCAGCAGGGCAGCTGGCCTGGGGGAGACCAGGAGGGTCTCCTAGGTAGACCAGGGGGGTCTACCCAGCGGCGTTGCCTAAAGCCTCGGCATGCGGGCCACTCCAGGGAAGAGGCGCCCAATGGCGCTGAGCAAACAGACATCTCCTCTTTAGTCACCACGTACCATTTGGCGCCGGCCCCGTGAAAGGTGGAGCGCGGCCACTCTAAGTACTAAAGTTGAGAAAGAGTGAGCTGAGAGAGGGCACCCATGTCACTGCAGCGCCAGCACCCACGGAGGCGCAGAGCAAAGGGTGAGCCCTGCTGCTGTGCGACTGGCGTTAGCTAATGGTGATGCATCAAGATTGGTCGTTGGCTGTACTAACGGCCGTGCGCAAGGTGTTAATGATCAGGGAGATGGGGGTGATCGGGCCCCACGATCCTTCCTGCTTTCTTTTCCTATAATGTTACGGCCGCTGGGGAAAAGTCCATTAAAAATATTTTTGAAAAGTGAATTGATTTTCAGTATTTGTTCAGCAAGAGCACCCAAAGGTGGTCGGCAAAGGCTGAGGTCTAACTGGCCCTATGAGGTGGAGGAGGGGAGCCAGAGAATAAGGGGGTGCAGGCTGCTCCCTGGTCCTCCAGGAGCCCCCAGGAAAGAGCCCTCTCTGACTGCCCTGCTCCCGCCGTAAGCTATGGGACACCCCAGAAGTCCTTGCCTCTCTGTCCTGATCATGCCTCTCTCTGGAAGCCTGGGAGCTGAAGGCAGGAGGGGGAGCAATGGGGAGGGGGAGGGTACGATTCCTTCCCCGCCTTGAGCTTGCCAAACAGTTTCTCCCTAACTGATGGGTTTTCTAACTAAGCAACAAAAAGTCTCCTAAAAGTAAGTGTTAATTAAGCAGCTATTAACTCAATGGTAGCCATGGGCAGACGCTGCTTATCTAAAGGCTCCAGGATCCCTATTTTGTACCAGATACTCCCCGATACTGATTCTGGCCTCTGAGCACCTGGAGTGCCCTCTGGTCATCACCACCTGATCCAAGATGCCCTCGGGACCCCAGGCCCTGAACATGAGTGACGGAGCCCCTCTGTCCCCTGCAGGAGCAAGCCCAGGCTCCCTGGGGTATTTGTAACAGGGTCAGGGAAACCAGAAGGCGCTCAGGGCATCCGAGTTTTTTCCCGTTTCTGCTCTCCAGGGTCCCATGCAGGCCTGACTGTGGGTAACTAACTTCGTGCAGACCCCAGCCTCCCTGTGACATCGCAGCCCTGGTGGGGCACACCCGGGGCTCCCAGGTGCGGTGCCGGCCCTGGGTTCACCGGGACGTGTTCATAAAGCAGAGCTGGGTGGGACGTAAGGGACGAGGGTCCCTGACGAGGACCAACGGCAGCCTCCTTGCAGGGACACAGAGGGACACTCTGTGGGCGCAGGGGGACACTCGCGCAGCGCTGATGGGGAACTGCTGAATGTACCAAACGCTCCACGGAGGCAGCATGGGGGATGCACCAGAACACCCTCCCCAGCGAACCAGGGTTGGCAAACTCTAGCTCAGCACCCAGAGGTGTTTACAGTTGTTATTCTTTTCTGGAGGCAAACGGGATCCAGTGGAGGTGGCACGTCTTTGGTGCCACGAATTTAGGGACGTTTAGCGTCCTGAAAGGATTCTTTGCAATAAAATGTTGACTTTTAGAAACAGAGCTGCGGTTGATACAGACCGTCGGAGCCACCTCGGATCTCAGACTTCCCACCTGTCGAGTAAACACCACCCTCACACCAAACACAGGCTCTTCCAGAGCTAATTTCCTGTACCTTTGTGAAGGCCGGGCCCTGGACATGATGGGTCCATTTATGAAAATAGGAGAAGTAATTGGGACATCTTTTGAGATCATGTCCCCTCCGCCGCCGGCCCGCATCAGCTCTCTAATTTCAGCTGGCCTGGCTCTGAGGATGTTTACATATGCCTCTTCCTGGAATGTCACTCTTTGCCTCAGGAGTGGGCAATTAGAGAGAATTAGGGCCTATTTGGCGTATGTTTACCGCTAATGGGCAGAGTGGCCGAGGCAGCCTTGGGGAAGGCGGGCTGCTGGTCTAATTGAAGCTGGCAATTTTTCGATTCCTCATTTCAGCTCGCAGGTATTGTAGCAACCAAGGTCACAAAACAAAAGCCACAGCCCACCACGCAATAGCCAGGCGCGGCCCGGCCCGCGGGCTTTGTGAGCTATTTATTACACGTGCTGCAGCACAAAGAGAGCTGGGGGTGTTTGCAAAGCAGCCCAGAGGGCTACGGGTGGCAGGTACTGATCACTTTTCCAGAAGTTGCCACCCGACAGCTTTGTGGGGAAGTTTCGTTGCTGAGTCCGCCTGGGGATCAGCCAGGAGCTGGCTGGTGGTGGCTGGTGGCCAAAAGGCCCTACGGGACACCCCAGGACAGCACAGCCAGCCCCCTTCCTGAGACGGGAGCCTCGGGCCGGTCCCATCGCCCCAGAGTCACCCCGCACCCCAAAGTGTTCCCCAGGCCTGGCCAACAACCAGACATAAGTGAAATCTGGGCACTGGGGCGGCAGGCGCCCCATGAATTGGCATGGGTCGTGAGTGCCCACAGAAGCTGCCGGCCAGCTGGCTGGCAACTGTGGTCACTATCCTTGGTGGCCAAGTGGGCTCTGCATCCAGGGTCTGCAGCTTGCCCAGGAACCCACCCTCCCGAGTCTCTGCTTGCCTCATCTCTAAACTAGAGGGAATACCAGGCGGGAGGCCAGTGCCCTCTGGAATCTCTAGGGCCCAAAAGTCCCAGCGAACAAACCTACCAGCCCCCAAGGCAGCGGGCAGGAGCCCAGGACAGGGCAGAGTGCCAAGATGCTGGTACCCATCCGTAGGGTAAGTGAAAAAGTATCAGGCTTCTCTGCCCTCCCGCTATTAGGATTGATGATGGATCCTTGGGGTCCTGAATGCATGCCTGATGGCGGGCACCTGGAGTAGGGTGTGGGCACACCTGGGCTAAGGCTGGGCTTATAAGGGCAGCATCACAGGGATGCCAGAAGAACCACAAGAGCAGCAGAGAACAAGGCCACCAGAGAACACCAGAGAGCCCAGGTAGCGTGAAGACTTGCTGGGGGTTGGGAGGCCTGCCAGCCTCCTGGCCCCCCAGCACCCCTGCCTTCTGTGTACCCAGTAAAATCCCAATAAAAACCTGAAAAGCCCTGAGGACTCCAGGACTCTCTCCTCCTTCACCCAGTCTGCTTGGATCATAGAAAACCTGCAATGTGCCCGTTCCTGCCGCTACACCACCCTGCCCCACCTCACAGGAGGGAAACTGAGGCCCAGAGGGCAGGAGGCAGGGGCCAAAGTGACAGTCACACTTGGAGATGAGCAGGAGCTGCCACTGGGTCTCCCAAAGGCCATGGCCGTCCCACACCCAGGAAAACGCCCAGGCAGACCTGACCTTGACCACACTGTCCCCTCTGCTGACCAGGCACTGATCTCTCCAGTACTGATGCCCTGCTCCTGCCTGACAGAGTACATAGACCCAACAGGCTAGCGCCTCATCCAGGGAAGGGGAAACTGAGGCCGCACAGTGGCCCAGACTGGAGCAGGAGCCCCTTCCTCTCGTGAGAGGGAAGTGGTCCTGGTTCCTCCATGGCAGGGAGCCTTCTGGGCGGTGTGGGGCAGCACACTGAGCCTCCAAATCAGAGGCTCCCTTGCTCTGGGCACCCCCCATGGGCTGTGCTGCCCCCCTCTTGTCCTCCCTAAGCGCAAACACTGCCCTGGGGCTCTCTGAGCCCCCCAACCCGTGTTGTAACCTGGGGGGACGGCGTGATCGCCACCCACAGGACGATCCAGAAAAAGGGCTGGAAAGACAGCAGGCTCACTGGGCTACAGTCCCAGCCATGGGTCCCTCTGAGCCCCTTCCCCAACACCCTGTTCTGGAGCCCCCTCTTCTCAGCCCCGGCCTGGCTCTCTCGGGCTCTCAGGCCCGGTTTGCTCGAGTGCTTGTCTCTAGGCATGGCCGCTGCTGAGAAACTTGCAAAAAGAAAGCCCCAGAAGGAGGAGAGTGTGAGCATCTGGGGTCACGCTGCCAGGGTAGCTGGTTAAGTGTGTCATTGTGCAACCTCTTGTCTGGGCCTTGTCCTCCCGCCACGCACACAAGGGCAGGGCCCGGGAACACACACACACACACACACACACTAACACACGCACACGCACGCACGCTCTGTCTCGGGAAGGTAATTGAGGTTTTCTTCTTTTCATCTGAAGAAAGGCACCTTCTATTAAAAGAATGTATTCACAGGACCTGGGAAAACTCATCTGCACTCAGCCCTCCCAATTATCCCCAGGTGGCTGGTCTCCGTGGGGGCCCCCCACATTCCTTTCTGCCTGCGCCTTTGTTCCCGCTCAAGCGGCCCTGGGAGCTCCCAGGCTAAGAGGCTCCCCCTTAAGCCCCTACCAAAGACCCTATTCACCGCCCAGACGGCAAAGGTGGTGGCGCCTCTTCCTTGGAGTCCCAGGCCGGGGCTCAGCGCTCCCCATCTGCATTGTTTTGTAAGCCCAAAGAAATCGGAGAGCAATTAAGAGTCCAGGCTACACCCTCCACCATCCTCCTCTTCTTAATGAATTCCTCTCTCACACACCCCCCGCTCCACGCTGGGGCAGACCCATCCTCCGCTCCCCAGCACCCGCTCCGCCTGCTGGTCCCCCAAGAAGGTCAGGGACTATGAGGGTGCAGGAAGTTGAGAGAACAGAGTTCTCATCACAGTCAAGTCCCCAAAATGTGACTGGAGTGACCCCAACATAGAGACCAGGACCTGGGCCAAGTGTCCATCACCCGAAGGCACTAGCCACTGCAGCACCCAAGGGCACCTCAAAGATGGGCTCTCGGGTGCCCTCATATAAGGGGGGCCCCTGGCCCTCTGGTGGGCCTGAGTGAACGCAGGACCCCCTTCTGGGCATTGTCTGGCCTGCCCAGTGGTGAGGGACACTGGGGGCCCCTCCTCCCCTTTCTCCACCAGGGCAAGCCTCCCTTGGCCTCACCCGTTCCCCACCCCCCAACTTCCCGAAGGGTCCACTTCAAGTGTCCTGGGAGCCTCCTGTCTGTCCTAGCCAGACTTCTACCCCTGTCCTAATGGAGCCCCACCCCTGAGAGGACCCTGCTGGAAAAATTACAACTCTTTTCCAGAATTTTCCATTGGCTCAGAAAGAGTAGGAGATCAGGCTGGATTTCCCTGTCCCTCCTTTAGGAGGAGAGGACCGAGCTCAGGCAGCAGAGGGGAGTCCCTAGCCCCCAGCTCTGGGGGCTAGATGTATTCACAACTTGGTAAATTCCAGTCTTCTAAAAGAAAGCGCTCCTAGCACCCCAGCCCTTTCATGCCCCGCCCCCCCCCCCCCAGCACTGCGGACTCCACATTGTCCACTGCCCTTTGACCCTCTGGGACCTTAGTTTGTCTCCCTCCACACCCCCTTCTGTGTAAAGCCGCCTTCCCCCTTTCATGGAAACATTCATTAGCAAGCTCATTAAGGACGGCTCGATTTTTTTTCTCTCTAGAAGTCGGATTGCTCATAAAAGACGCCAAAGTTACTGCATGGACATGACGTGAACACACACATGCTCCCAGGCCCCCAGCCTCACCGGGTTTTGACATCATTTGGAGAAATGTGCTTAGAAGGGCGTGTGGGGTGGCGGCATCACCATCAGGGGGCGTGAGACCAGGCCCTGGAGCTGCGGGTGGGAAGTGGGGTGTGGGGGGGGGGGTTGGGCAGACTTTCCTCCCTGGAGCAGAGGCTAGGGATGCCCTTCCCTTCCCCACTGCCCAGGGTGTGACAAGGGCCTTCTCCGCGACACCTGTGGGGGCCTGGAAACTTCCAGCCAAAGACGCCCCCCAGGCAGTGAGCCCCTCCCCAGAGTGCCAAAGCCCTTGGGCGCCACCTGATGCCCGGGGAGGGTCTCACTTCCCCCACCCCTTCCTGCTCAGGAAGAGGAAGTCCCAATCCACCAGAGAATTCTGGAGGTGATGACTTCCTCCACTCCACAAGGGCCTTCCTGCCATGCCTGGATGAGAGGCCGACTGAAGTTGTACGTTTCAGCTTCTTTAACTGAGAACTTGATATATTTTCACCTGCCCAGTGACTCACAGGACTCAGACAAGGTACCCGCCTAAGACTGAGCATTTCCAAGTCTCCCTAAAATGCAACTCAGCCTCAAGGCGGACCCACCCGCCACTGGGGAGGGTGAGGGGGGCGGCTGGCTGGGACTTGCTTCCCTAACCTGCCCCCGGATCACCCAGCCCAGGATGTTCCCAGGGAAGAGTCTAGAAGCTGGGCCGTCTGGCTCAGACAGGCACCACAGAGCTTCCTGGCATCCCCTGGGAGCCCCGCATCTCTGCCCTGCGCAGAGGCCCCCCCAGGCCTCTCCTCCACGTCACTGTGTTTGCAGGTAGTTCAGCAAATGCCAGCTGTGGAGTAAATATCACGGGCAGAGCCCTCCCACAGCCCCTCCCAGATTCAGCCCTGGGCACACGCGCCCCTCGCTCTAGCCTGGTGGGCCCTCCAGAGAGAGACAAGCCAAGGCAGCAGCCCCCCACCTGGGTTACCTCTGCCCCCTCTGCCTACACTAACGCATTTTGTTTAAAAATAATCTCCCATCCCATTTCCATTTCAGGGGAGAAGGGCAGGGCTGCAGAAGAGCTGTCTCAAAACTTCTGTTTGCTGAAAGAGCATTATGGAAGCTTCTTTGGAAACCAGAGACCCTTGGGAGAAGGGACTGCCAGGCCCAGCCTCGTTGCCCACTCAGGGGTGCTGGCATTGGACCAGAACCTCGCAGGGGCCCACTCAAGGCCCCCAGGAACTGACTCTGCTTCACACCCGTCCTCCAGCCACTCTCCCTCCCACTGAGACCACCCTGGAGTCCGCTGGCCCATCCTTCACCCCTACCCAGGAGCGCACCACGTGGCCTGCTGGGCCTGAGCTAGCACCAAGACCCCCACGTCCCCATAAGACTCGGTTCAGACCCTATCATGGGCTCAGCCACTGGGACCCCAGAAGGAAGGTACCCTCAGCTAGGCCTCCCTCTTCCTGATCTTGGTTCAACTGGCCACACACAGGGGCTGAGGGGAAGCAGAAGGCCCCGTACTCGTGGGCCAGGCATCCCCCCATGGGAGCTCCTAGAGCACCCACAAACCCTCTGGTCTGGATACCCTGAGAGCCCCAACTCTGAGCCTCACCAGGTCCAGGAGCACATATGGGACAAGGGGCCCTAGACAAACAAGTGGCGCCCTGGAGAGCCAGAGGGCTGTGCACCTCCCATCACTTTTTCCCTCAAGCGTTGCTGGCCAAACCACTCCCTCCCTTCTCATTGTGAGCTCAGGGGCGCAGAAGAAGATGTGAGAAGAACTCACTCAAAACCCACGAAGGATTGAAGTGTATCCTCAGAGCCCCCCACCCCGAGGGCCCCTGCTCCAGGGCAGCAAAGGGCAGGCGAGCTCCTACTCCCGCCTCCCCAAGCAGCCCCTGCGCAGGCAGTCTCCAGTCATGTGTTCGACAAAACTCAGGACCTACTGTGTGCCTGACCCCAGTGATTCTAGGGCACCCAGCCCCATGTCGCTCACCCCTCACTTACCGTGCCTGCCCCGGTCGGGCCCACATGTGCCGGCTGTGAGGAGAGGGGCTCTGCCCCGGGCAGCTTGCGACTCTGCTGGGTGCAGAGCTGCACCCTTGGTCTGGAGCCCCGCCCCAGGTCACCCTGTGTACCCCCCTGAAGTGATCGGTGCTGAAGCACATCAGTGAGTCCCAAGAAAATAAGAAACTCACCCAAAGCAGGAGGCGAGGGGCGTCGGATGATCTGGGGGCCGGGGCTGGACGCTGTCCTCAGGGCTCTTCTGCCTCTTCCTGCTGCTCCGCGCCGCAGGGCCAAGCCGGGTGGGTCACAGCCGGTGTGCCAAGAGCTGATGGGGCGACCTTTGGAGGGACAGGAAGTTAGTGCCTGGCCAGGAAAGCCCCAGGGGGGGGCCACCACTGGGGAGAAGGTGCAGGCTGGCCTCACCTGCAGTCTGGCTCCGGGGCAGGGAGGTGGCGCACATGGGAGGAGACCAGCGATGGTCAAGAAGAGAAGCAACGGGCCTGGGGGCAGCCCTAGACCTACAAGGAGACCAGGACCATCTGCCAGGGGCCGGTCCAGGGGTCAGGCAGGGGGAAGGGCAGCAGCCGCCATCTCAGCCCACTGGGCCACACCCTGGGAGGGGGCAGCTGAGAGTGGCCAGGGGCGTGCCGGCCAGGCAGTGCCCCAGAGGAGGGGCCAGTCAGCAAGGTGGGCAGCACAGCAGGTGGGGCAACCTGAGCTGGGAGGACCCAGTGACAGGGCAGAAGACAAGCAGTGGCGAGCAGCAGGCAGGGCCAGGGAGCCACAGGTGAAGGCCCAGCAAGGAAAACTGACCCGTTAGGCAGGGGACCGGGCAGCAGAGTCCCGGGGGCCATGGTGGCTCGGGCACAGACGGGGCAAGTGGGCCAGACAGGGAAAGACTGGCAAGCGGAGCCCCGAAGGGCAGTCAAGACCTGAGCGGAGCTGCCAAGCAGTGTGAGTGCGGAGGCAGCCGGGCAGGGTCAGCCTGCAGGTGCTCCCTGGAGGTTCCAGGCCACGGTCCTTGCATCAGGACAGGCCCCAAACAGTGACGTGACGGCAGAGCCGCCTCATCGACCCCCGAGGGGCAGGGCAGGCAGAGAGGGCAGGGTCCAGCTCAGACCCCAACTCAAGAGGGAGACCTGAATGGCCAGAGCAGGAGGGGACACACCTTCTATCTCTGTTCTCCCACCTCGGTCCTGGGCAGGGCCGTGGGTCCAGAACAGGCATCCACTGAGCTATGGGAGGGGGTGCGGGAGGCAGGGAGGGCAGGATGAGCGGGGCCGAAGGAGGCCACTACCAGCCCAAGGAGGCCGAGCCGCAGCCCTTGCGCCCCCCTGCCTGCCTTCCCTAACAGAGCCGGAGTCGACCGCGCAGCGCCCCGAAGGGCCGAGGCCACCCGCAGGGAGCCGCCCCCCAGCCGCCCGCACTGGGAGACAGAGGCCGCCAAGGGGCGCGCTAGTGTGGCGGGTGTCCAGCCCCTGCCGGGCGTGGGCTTGATCGGCAAGGATCGACTGTTGGCTGACGGGATGAACGCATGAGTGAATGAAGGGGTGAGACCGGCTGGCCCCGCTCAAAGGGGGCTCCTTGTCAGACCAAATCCGCCTCCACCCTTTTGGCCTAATCCTTATCTTCCCAGAGACTCCCGCCTGGCATCTTAAGTGTGCGGTCAAGTTCCTTCATGGACTCATCTGTCCAAACAGACATCCCACATACTCTTACTGAACCCCACTTTTGCCAAACTGGTGCTGGGACACCCAGAGGAAGTGTGGACTGGCCTAGGGCACCCCCAGAGGGCCAGGTTGGAACTCAGTGCTGGAGGGGTGGGGGCCGGAAAACAGAGGTGAGGGTAGTAAGCAGAGAAGCAGCAAGTCTTAGAAGGGTGGAAAAGTGGGGGGACGCATCTCCTGGCCTCTGGTAACTCTGGCTTCCCACCTAGTAGGGCCAGCTCTCCTGAGGCGCCAGGGCCGACTCCACAATAAGAGCCCAGTAGGCTCTGGGTGCCTAGAAGACCATAGGAGGCCATTGGGACCTCCCCAAATTGGGAGAATGGGGTGCAGCTAAAAGCCGCATCTATGCAGGAAAGAGGGGCTGCAGTAAGCAAGGAACCAAGGCATGGGGTAACCTGCACTCAAAGGAACAATTAGCTGGGGCCTCAGGGGTTTAAGGCGGCTGCCCCGCTTCCTGAAACCCAAGCAGGAACCGGCCGGGGGAGACAGTTTCCCCAAGTGCCAGACCCCGGTCAGGTTCCCAGAAAGAGCACAAAATCCCCAAGGCACAGGGACAAGTGCCTTCCGGCCTCCCCAGATCCTCAAAGGCTGGCTTCAGGGGGGCTCTGGGCTTGGATGTTAATTATCGTCTGTCCACGTTTCCGGGGGAGAAGGTCTCACGGGTGATTATTTTTCCTAATTAAAAAAAGTCACTTCAAATACCAGGGGCTGGGAGGGGTAGATTCTTGTGGGGTCCCCCGGGGCCTAATCTAGGGGACACCTCAGTCACCTCGCCAGAAAGCGGAGATGCCCCAACCAGTCACTGGGCCGCCTTCGTTCTTGTTGGAGTGTGGGGGACATGGCTTGGCTGGTTGGCAAGAGCAGGCCCCATGACCCCAGGGCCGGGACCCTCAGCCGCAGGAGTCGGGGAGACCTGCAGACAAAGTTTCCTCGCTCTGACCGCCCCACTTCCCTTGGCTTTTCTCATTTGGCAGAAGGTCTGGCTGGAGCCCGCAGTTTCATTGCAGTGATCTAATCTTGATTGATCTGCTGGGGTGAGAAAGGTCCCAACCCAGGACAAAGAAGAGCAAGTTTCAGAGCTGGGACATGTTTGCTCTAAAGGCATCAGAGGGCTCCAGGGAGGGCGAGGGGTTCGGGTGGGGCTCAGGATTGTGCAGTGCTAAGAAAGGCAATGACAGCAAGTCCGGATTCTGGGCCCGAGCCCCTGACCCATCCCTGGGCCTCAGAGCCTCAGTTCATCAGTCTGTGGGAGCCAAATGTGAACCCCAAACCACACTCATCCATGGGGGACCCCTGGGGCCCCCATCTCCTCCCATGGGCCTATGACCTGGCCCTTTCCTACCACTGGGGGAAACTTTAATGCTGGGGGGCAGGGGCAGGAGTGTACTAGAATTGGAGAAGGCACCCCAGGCCCCAGAGGCTGTGTCCAAGAGGGTCGACAGGTCCTGGCCATGGCGTCTGCTTAACGGGTCCAAGCAGAAGCCATCCCACGGCCCGCGTCCCACACAGCGGCCTGCAGCTCCACGGCTCCCGCGCACACGGGGCACGGGACGGCAGCGGAGGCGCAGGGCGGGGGGCAGACCTGGTCTCCGGCACCTAAATTGGAGGTACGGCCAGAGAGCCCGGTGGCCCTGGCCCTGAGGACCGCGCTCACCTCATTATGCTGATCAGGGTGCTTTTCCCTGCAGACAAAGGAGGCCCCTTATGAGCTGAATATTGGAATCCAGCAGCTGCCTCATTAGCGTCTGCAGGCTCTTCCTCCGCGAGGCCCGAGATTAGCCTCGTGTTCATTAAGGGGAAAGGGCGCAAAGTGGAATAAAACTGAAAAACACAGCTGGGGGTGGGGAGGGCCCCTTCTGTGGGCCATTGATTCCCTGAAAGACGCCATGTACCTTCAGATTTAATCACCAGCAAAGAGGGGCGGGGGGTGGGGGGGAGCGAGGGGGTTTATCCAGGATTCAGGAGGTAAAGAGGTTAAACCTGATAGAAGGAGTTAAAAACCCAAAATGGGACAATTTGATTAGAAAGCTTCCTGGGATTTGTCACTGGGGTAATGAAGTCAAAATCTCTTTCCTGTTTACTTTCTCTCAGCCCAAGATTGTAGGGAGGGCAGCTTTCTGGATGTTGGGGTTGGGGGGGGATTTTAATATCTTCTACGACTCCCGTTCCCTTTTTGTCTTAATGCCTTTTTTCAGTCTTTCCCACTCCCACGTCTTTCTTCTGTCTGTCCTTCCCGTGGGACCCTAATCTTTAAGAAAAACTCCAACCAGGCAGTCTCCCGAACACCTCATCGCCCTGAGAGCAAGTCCCACCAACACCTGCCCGGCCCGCCAGGGAGAGACCACGCTGACGACGCCGTGGGAGGAAAGGGGCTTGGAGAAGGGGGCCTGCTGCGAGGCCTTGGCCCTAACCAGGCGGCAGGGCCAGCGGAAGCTTCCAGAAGCTGGGAGACCTGACTGGGGGGCACTGAGGACGAGGGGAGCCCAGGGCAGGGGTCTCTAGGAGTCGATGGGGAATGGGTGTCAACAGGAGTGACCCGGAGCGAAAGGCCACGTGAGAGAGTGGACGCCTGTCGTGTGTCGAGAGCAGGAGACGTGTCCAGGGTGAAGCGACAGAAAAGCCATTACCTTAGCGAGAGACTTCATCGGAGGAGAGCAAGTCAGGAAGCAGTGGGTTGAGGAGGAAATTGGAGGTGAGGAAGGAAGACAGCAGGAGTGGACAGGCCTTTCGAGAAGCTTGGCTGCGAAGGAAAGAAAGAGACCGTCGTGGCTAGAAAGATGGACAGGGCAGACTGTGGAAAGAGCCACCTTAGAATTCAGAGGGAATCAGGTGTGAGAAGAGGGCACCAGCACAGAGGCCACCTCTGCCTCTACGAGGAGAGAGGCCATGGGGGTGCGAATGTGGCTGAATCCCCAATCTGAAGAACCGCTTGAGGGCCTCTGTTCCACTCGGGGGCAGCAGGCCCGCCCACCCTGGGTCAGGACAGGGAGTTGTGAGGTTCAAATGAATGGTTGATGGGCCAAAAAGGCCTTTGCCCGTGGCAGCGAGAGACGTCAACGTCGCCTTGTGACTCACTGGCCACGGGACACTAGTTCTACAACCCACTGCAGCCTCACCAGGCCTGGATTTCAGTGACCATGAATGAGGCGAAGGCTGAGAAAACGGCCTGCCAGCCCTGGAAGACAAAAGGTGGCCCTAATGGCCTGGATTAACGCAAAGCAGCTCTCCGCCCACGTCATTCGTCACCTTCCAAGTCATCCTTCCACCTTCATTTGTCACCTAATCCAATCAGTCCCTTTCAGATGCCCAGGAGCCATTGTCCACACCAAGCTGGGCTTCCCTGAAGGGGTCTGAGCTGTTTTTGTCTTGTCCGAACAAAACTGGTTGACTTGAAAGGGGACAAAGAAAGTGCTGGTCAATGAGGACCCCAATTAGCTTCCAAGGGACTGTTTTCATCATCTTTGATCCCATACCAGGCCTGGTGTGCTGGGCATATTGTCGGTGTTCCGGAAAATGTTTGTTGAATTAATTCTGTTTTTGCTGATGCTGGCATTGATTTGTGTAGCACGAACCTACAATGCACCTACTGGGTGCTAGCTGCTATTAGTGAGGGAGAATGGGGCTGGGGGCACGGGAACAATGGGGACCAACCTCGGGGTGTTAAGTATTTGGCAATTTCCACAGCTATTTACAAAGTGCTTTCTATCATCTGGTTTTCAAAAGCGCCCTGTGGGGTGGGGACATGCGGGGAGGGGGGGTGTGTTTTGTTGTTGTTGTTGTTTAATCCCCATTTAGACCAAGAAAGGAACTGAGGCTTGGAGAAGTTAAGCGACTTGTTTAAGGTCACCTCGTTAGGGAGAGGTGGAGTCAGCACGGGGCACCAGCACTGGGGCCACCCAGACCCCCTAGACCACCCCGGACAGCTGGGATTTCAAACAGACTTCCCATTGTCCGAGGTTTGATTGGAAATAAAAGAGCCCTCAGTGGAGCTCTGGACCGGGGCCAGGGGTGCAAGGGGCCGCTGCAAGGGCACCCAGGGTCCAACTTGGACCCCTTGTCTTGCCAGCAATGTGACCAAATACTTAAACATTCCCCCAGCAGCAGTTCCTCACTGGAAATGGGAGCCTGTCCTACCCCATGGGACAGGGGGCACTGGGGCCTACGGGCCCTCCCCACTTCTCCCTCTTGCCAGGCACTCAAATGAAGGTGGGATTCACTCCAGGGGCTGCCTCCCCTCCAGGGCCTATACCTCCGCTGTGTAAATGTGTTCAGAGACTGCAGGAAGAGTTCTAAATGAGCCCAAGTATCACTGGTGTTCCTACCTGTGGACCATGCCCCTACCTGGTGCAGGGAGCACCCCAAGGGCGGGGCTGCCTGGACGGCTGCAGGAGAATAAATAAGACAAGTGAGAGGGTGGGAATCAACCAGCCCAACTTTTCAACAAACATCTGCGGACCACCTCCTCAAATCCCGGCCCACCCCAGACTGCCTGATCTCATTTAATACTCACAACTTCCCTGGGAAGGCGCTTCTCGTTCCCCAGTCCCTAGTCCCCAGAAAAGACAAGGAGATCTCCAAAGTGGGGGCATGCCCTGGGCAGTTCGGCAGCATGGTGTCGGGCTCATGCTCATCCCAGACGCCCACCCTGAGCCTTGAACTGCCAGTGAGTGGCTGGTGGAGCCCTCAGCCCTTGGCCCAGGCCCCCCTCCTGAGAAGTTCCCAAAGGGATCCTTCCATTTCAGGATATCCCAGGGGCAACAGGGTCAGTCAAGAAGAACTGACACCTCCTTAGGGGGGAAACACTCCAGTTCGCTGGCACGTTAACACAAGCAGAGACTTACAGGTGAGTACTGCGTCAAGGCACAAGCATAGCAAAGGTCAGGGGTTAAGGACCAATGCCCCCTCACTAGGGCATTGGTTTAAGCCTTTTAGTCAGAAGGGACAGGTGGCTGATCGGCTCTCATCCTCTTCATCCTTCATCATCCTGGTCCTGGGGGCCCGGTGGTGGCTGCTTTATGCTGGCGGGGTCCAGGAATCCATGCTCCTCGTGCCCTCTGCAATTGATCAAAAGTGAGAGGATGCACTTAAAAGCCCAAGTCTAGGCATTAATTAAAATTTAAATGAATTAATTTCAGCTAAAACTAATAAGTTAACATTTAAAATTATCCTTAGTTGCTAATTAATCTGAGGGTGATGGCAGGAGGGTGCGGGGTGGGGGTTCCACCCACCACATGTATATCAGAGCAGCCGGAGGCTTGAGGTACCATGGGATGGACGTCAGCCGTATGCCCCTTGGCAGCAGCTTGGCCTTGGCACAGGTGGTCCTTGCAGACGAGAAGGGGAAAGGACGATGTCATCCCTGCAGAGAGACCCTATGGCATGGGAGGGGGTCAGATTAGAAACCATCTTGATGACCTCTAATGGCCAGCACAGGAACAGCAGGGAGAGGGAGGGGCAATGGGAGAGAGAAGAGACAGGGGAGGGGGAGGGAGGGGCCAAGAGGGGGGAGGGAGGGGCCAAGGGGGGAGGGAGGGGCCAAGAGGGAGGAGGATGTGGTTGGGGAGAAGAGGGAGGGGTGTAGAGGAGGGGGGAAAGAAGGGAGGAGGGAGGGGTGGGGGCTGGGAGAAGGGGGGAAAGGAGGGATGAGGAAAATGGGAGGGGAGGCGGGAGAAGAGAAATGGGAGGGAAGAAGGGGAGGAGACAAGGGAGAGGAGGAGCAGAAGTGGAGAAGGGAGGAGGGAGAGAAGTGGGAGGGGGTAAGGAAGATTTGATTGACAGGCCACAAGTGTTCGCTGTGTGCGCATGCGCAACCTGAAGCCCAGTTCAGCGGGCCTCGGGCCATTTGCAGACACAGACCGCTAGGGGGCGCGCGGCAGCGCCCGGAGCCCGGCAGCGCCGCCACCTGCGGCGCGCACGCGCACGCGCGCACACTCGCCCGCACACTGCAGGCGCCTCCAGCGCCCCCGCCCGCGCCCGGCCCGCAGCTGCCAGGGCACAGCTGGCACAGAGCAGGCGGGGGGCGCCCAACAGGTCTCGAGCCAGGAGGGGGGGCTCAGCCCACCCCAACCCGCCGCGCAGGGCCGCTGTGTCCCCGACACGCCAGGCCCGCCCTCGCCAGCCAGAAGCCACCTGTGGACTTGGGGCACCCCCCCCAAATGGCCAAGAGGGTCTTTTGCGCCCCGCAACTGTCAGGGCACCCTATGCCAGAAAGACGGACGGATATGAATCAGACATGCCGCATAAGGGTCTTTCCAGAACACGATTCCACTTTTAGTAAGAAAAAACCAGAAATCTTGCGTCCGACCTTCGTGAAGCCAAATTAACGAAAAATAATTAAAAATTTAAAAATCCCATTCTCAATACACCCCTTTCACTCATTTTGGGGTCTCTAGACATAGGATACAAAATACCGTACCGTTAGAAAACCATGCGAAGGCCGCCAGGACCACCGAGAATCATCAGACCACCATCGAGCCCCCCTCGAAAATCCCGCCCCCCTTCTTCGCCACATCAAGAATTTCAAGACCCCGCACGAAGGCGCCTGGTTAACCACTTGATGGCCTCTTCATCCTGTGCCAATGAGCCAGACCCCCGAAGACCCCCAAAACCAAACGACCGAATTAACTCGTCCACCTCCGAGCTCGTCCACGACCCCCAAGTCACACGCCCCGCGCTGGCCTCGGCCTCTCCGGCCCGCACCCATCCCGCCGCCGCTCGCGCGACCCCGGGGGTCTCGAAGCATCTCCTTCTAGGTAAATGTATCCAGAATTCGCCAGCAAATCCCTTGTCCGACCCCCTCCAGCAGGAGAACAAAGGCCACCTCCCCTCCCACCCCGCCCCCAAAATTCCGCAGTGCCGCCAGCGCCCTCTGGCGGCCAGCGATGAAACCTTCCAGAAACCTGCCACGTAGCAACCCGCTCGCGCCCCCCCCAAGGCTGTCGGCCTGGGGTGGGGAGGGGGCAGCGTGGGGGGGGGGCAGGGACAAAGGAAATGGCAAAAGGCGATTTTATCAAAACTCTAAAGCCCACAACATGTCAGACTCTTCCAGAGACCGCCACGCAACGACGAAAAGACCCCCGACCCCCAATTCCCAATACCCAGCGCCCAAATCCCCCTAACACACCCCCTTTTCTGTATGCACCACTGCCCGCTTCCATCCCAAAGATGCCTCTCCATACCCAAAGATGCCCAGAGATACGGCCTTCTCCCACCCCAGCCCACCCCTGCTGCTCTCCTGCCCATGCTCCCAGGTACCTGGCCCTGCCCCCAGCTGCCCTTCTCCAGAGATTTATCTTGGGGGGCTTCTGGGGCGGGGGCTTGCACTGGGGCGCCATATCTCTCCTCTGGTAAAGTGACTGATTCGGGTAAAACCTGATGGTATCGTTGGGAATTTCACTCTGAAATCTGGCGAGCCCTGCAGTCCAAACCTGGGCACTTGGCCTCGGGGTCCCTGCGGACAAGAACCTTTGCTCCTCGCGCCTGCGGGCCAGCAAGACCCTGCCCCAAAACTAGGGGGGAAACGTGCCCAGGGGACTCTTCGGGTGCTTCCCTCCTAGCTCACGGGGCAAACCGAATGCCTCCGCCGCCATATCTCCCTCCATTGGTGATTCTAAAGGTGGCTTCACGCAGAAAACCTGGGGTTTGGACCCAGTGGCTGCGGTACGCTGGATCCCAGTGGGGTCGCTCGGACGCCCCCCACTCCTTCTAACGCAGCCTACCCTCGAGGGCGGCACTGCAAGGATCCCTGGTTCTCCCACCCCAGGAAAATGTACCTCGAGCTTTTCCTTCCTGACAGAATGTCCTGGTGGCCCGATGCTCGGGGACCAGGCGAGGTGGCCGCCTTGGAGAGAAGGTCCCCAGCATCGGTCACTCGGCTCGTCCAGCAGGACAGAGCCCGGCCCAGAAGGGGATGTCGGCTTCCTTTTGCACATCCTTTCGGGCAAGGATGGCCAACCACTCACCCGGCGGGCAGGCTCTCGTGGGGGCGCCGCGTTCTCCCGAGGAGCTGCAGCCCCGGCTAGCGGGCCAAGGCGCGCTCCATCTCCGCTCTCCGCCGTCTGCGCTAGGGGCTGGCTGGGTGGGGTTTATATGCAGGCGCAGAAGGGGTGGTCTCTGACGTCAGCGCATTCTGCTGCAATGCGCTCATTTCTCTAAAAGTGATTGGCCGGAAAAATGAGCCCCCCAGATTCTATGACAAATTGCTCTGGCCGCACCCAGATTGCAGCAAAGAAGGGAGGAAAAAATCCTGCCGCAGTGCCCCTCGCCGCCATGACCAACACCCTGCGCTGGCGGGCGCCTGCCCCTGCAGGAGACCCACTCGCCCCCCGGGCGATTCGTGTGCACACCCTTTGCGGGGAATACGGGGTCATGAGGGGTGGTTCTCCTGCGGCGGGCCGCGGGTAAAGCTGGGGCGCCGGGGGTACAGATCGCACACCTGGCTGTTTCGGAACATCTCGCAGAGGATGAGCTCGGGAAAAGGAATAATGCTTTCTGCTGATTTTCCCGGAAAATATAATGCCCCGGGCGAGATAACGGTTGCGGATCGACGGCTGCCCGCCCCCCCTTTATCTCACCCGTGCACCTCTCATCTCCTATCTCCGACATGGGAGGGTCGGACAGTATCTTGGAGTCAGAAAAACTGGGGTTTGAGTCCCGGCTTGAGGCTTACAAGTGTACCCGGGTACCCGCACCCCTGGGATGTCCCTTCTTCTGCACAGGGGGTCTGTTTCCTTTTCATTATCGAGGGGATGCCTCTTAACCGGGTTGGCAAGAAGAGCCCGGCTGTACGCGTGTACTGGAGGGGCAGTACTTTTCCAGGAGGATGGGTCCCACGTGGAGATACAAGGCGTACCCCCAAATGACGGTACTTTACCCACACGTTCACTTTGAAAGCCCCCCCCTCGGAAACAGACAGCGACACATGTTGCGGCGGAACATAGCTGCACAGCCTCGTGCTCCCGAACTTGGCACATGAGATTTAATCCCTAACAGGTGGCGCTTCGGCAGCTCTGCCCGGCATGAGTGGCACAGCGGGCCGGGCCGTCCATCATATGTCCTCTCGCAAAGGTCAGAATGCTGCTGAAAGGGACTAAGGATCTATCTTAGGGTGACAGGTGGGTGGCAGCAGGGAGGGCAGGGAAGAAGCGCCCGGTGACAGAAGAGGGGCGAGAATGACCGATGGATCCCAAAGGGGAAAGGCACGGGGGCCCCCCGGGGGATGTCAAGTTAGAACAAGTCCCCTGCACTTCTTGGGGGGAGGGGGCGGAGAGCCGCGCAGCCTTAGCAAGCCCCCCAGGACTGGCCTCGGACGCGGCGGCTGAAACTCAGCCTGGAGGAGCTCCCAGGGCGGAAAGGGTGGTCTCAGGGCTTTCGGGAAGCTGGTGGCCCCAGCAGGGGGTGCTGAGGGTGAAGGGTCAGGGCTCGAGAGACCCCGAGCCTCGGGTGGGGGCTCGTTTATGGAGCCCCCAAGTGTACTCTTGGGGAGAGGGTGACAAAGTGGATGGCGGGACATCGCGGGCTGTCGCCCCAATGTGTCAGATAACGCGAGGGAGAATGAAACACTCGCCGACAAGACAGGGGGGCACGCGGGGAGCCCCGGGGACTTGTACCCCGCAGCCTCAGGACTTGCGAGACTGAAAGGCCCGCTGTGGCCGTCAAGAAAGCTTCAAAAAATCATGGCTCCGCGCACCCCAGTCCACCCGGGAAGGTTTATTAGCCACGGTATTAATAGCTAGGAAACAGCCGGCGCGGGCCTCGACCAATCAGCGGCCAGGAGCCCCTGTCGTCAAGCCCGCGCGGCCAATCCGACGCAGGCAGGCCCGGTTGCTGGCCGCTCGCGGCAGAGGCGAGGGTGCGCGGCGCCGGGGGGTCCGGCTCGCCCCCGCGTGTGGGAGGCCTGCGTGGGAGCCCGGGCGGCCACCAGGGAGCGTCAGTGGCCATGCACTTGGCGCCCTGGAGGCGATTTCCGAGACGTGCCTCCTGGCGTCCGCCCTACAGCCCCAAAAGGACATGAGTAGATGTTCTGGGAGGAGCCCCAGATGTTCTGGGTTGGGGTGCCCCTGAGAGGCCCTGCAAGGAGGGACTGGAGCGCGGCTGTTCATCTCCGTCCGCCCGCCCAGGCCCGGCGGGGAACTTGGGGCCTCCCGATGCAAAGGCAGCCTCTGCTGCTTTATCCCTGGGGTCCCCGGATCCTAAGCTCGCGGCTCCTCAGAGCTGAGCAGTAAATCCCACCCCACTTTTTCAGGGTCTTGCTGACAGGCCAAGGTAAAGGACCCCGGAGAAGTGGCGCGGGTTTGAGTCCCAGCTCAGCTCCCTCCTAACTGGAAGGCTGGGATCCAGCCCTTCTCTCTGGGAAAAAGGAAAGCGTTGGACAAGATGGTCCCCAAGGACCCTTCCAGTCCTGCTTTGCTTGATTTGAATGTATACATCAGGCGAGTCAAATGTCTTCCAGAACATTCTGCATGACAGTAATTAGTATCAGGTGTATCCTGCAGTCCATGTGGTTACTTCATCGTGCTGCTTTTCTTTCCATTGTATTTTATTTTAAACAGAACTCCATGGCAACATGTCTATCCTCTGGCTTCCTAAAAGAAAGAAAAAGATATGGGGGAAAAAAGGCAAAGAGAGAGAAAAAAAAAACTGTGGTAAACTAATCTCTACCAAGCAGGGTTTAACCACAATAAAAAAAAAAAAAATCCATATGTTTAAATGTTTTTGTTGGCTTTTCTGGAGCTCAGAATCTAACTTTTTAAATATTTATCGGTCCAAAGCAATGGAAGAAATGACTTGAGAGAGCCAGGCCTGAGGTGACACCCGGCCCTGTGCTGTTTCTCAATCTCAGCGAGGTCTCGGGTGCTTTCCTTGTTCAGAAAGGATATTTGGGGGTTCAAGTTCATCTCTTCAGGCAAAACAGACAAGGAAGTCAGGGTCTGAGCACAAGGTGGCTTTCTATCCACGCTGAAGCCCACCTCTCCCGGAGCCCTGGGGGCGGCCAGTGTCCTGGACACACGCATAGCTGCTGCCTTTTTCTTTTTTTTTCACATCGATCTAATTCAAAGCACATATTTTTCTTCTTTTTTAAGTTCATACTTGGGAGTCCTCAAAAACCGTGTGAGCAGTCTCCGGGCCACATGTACATACTTGTGGGCAAGCGTACAAGAGCCCTAACATTCGGCCAGCGAAGGAGCACAAGGCTTTCCCATATCCACCTCCAGGCGCTGGTAAAGCACATCAGGGCTTTTTAAGCATCAGCCTGCCCCTCTCAGCCCCCAGTCCCCAGGTCCCCCTAACCAGCCAGTGTTCCCCAGTGATCTCTCAGGCCCACTTTTGCACTCCCCACTGGCAGCTGCCTAACAGCCACCCTGCTGCCTTCCTCAGGTAAGTCACACACAGACACCCCCACATCACACACTCCCTGAGCCTGTACCCCAGGCCTCCCTGGACCACAACAGCCCCTGCTGGGTGTTCCCATGAGGCTGTTTTAGAGTGGGGGAGCCTCGAATGAATTTCAGCTATAACCTCTGTGCCTCCTACTGGGCATCAAGCAATTGAGGATTTTTTTTTTGGGGGGGGGGGGGTTGGGGACCATCACTCTCCAGTGTGTGAGAGCTATAGTGACTTCTGTAGACCTCACACCTTCCTCTCTCCCCCCTGCCCACGACGCTTCAGCAACTCAATTTTGCCTTCAAAAGCCTACCCTCTTTCATTTGGGGCTTGTTTGTGTGAGGGACTCATTTTTTTTTTTTTATCCCTCATCTAGACAGAATTCACACCACCCTGTGCCCTATTCTGGAGAAGCAGGCAGCAATGTGGCACCTCTGACCTTCTGGTCTTCTTCCACCCAGGACCTCTCCTGCTCCTGAGGACTGACCTCCAGCACAGCCCCCACCCTTCCACGTCATAGATATGGAGAGACAAAGGAAGTCAGATGCCTTTTACAAAAGGCCAAGGATAAAGCAGTGGCTGACTGGGGCCCGTGGTGAGCGGGTGAAGGAGGGACTTCACTCCTTAGGAATACTTCCCATGACTAGAATCAAGGAAAAGAGCTGGAAGGTAAGACCCCCAAACACTACCCCTCCAAAAAAAAAACCCCATTAGTTGTTGTGGGTGCATAGATTCTGGGAAATGTTTCTTCTTCACCTTCAGCAGATTTCTCTGCAGGCATGGTTTGCCTTTATATGTACATTTACAAAACATAACAGCCCCAGCACGAGTGCAGGTGAGCGCGCGAATATGGGGGAATCAGTTACTTTGTCAGCCATTTTGAAAGGAGTTCTGGATTTACTTTAAAAGCTAAAAATGGGAATACCATGAAATATCCACTCTTGGACATCTGTCCCAAGAACATGAAGCCATCAAATCAAAACATGCCATGGGCACTATTTACAATAGCTAGGACATGGAAACGACTGAAGTGCCTGCTGATAGAAGGCTGGGTCTGGAGGATGGAATACTATGCAGCCATGAAAGATGAAATTGCCATTGACAGCAAGATGGAGGGAGCAAGAAGGAATGACGTGCAACCAAGACCATCAGAATGACTATGACAAATAGTGGGCACTCACGTAGCGGGCCACTCAACCACCCACGGTACCCACAGAATGTCAGGACACTGACCCAGGAAGCGAGGTTCAGAAGGAAGGGGAGGGGGAAAAGGGTCAAAGGAGTGTGCGGGATGGCAGGAGGTACAAAGGGAAGAGTCCAGGGAGACTGGCCTTCAGCCTCTTCTTTAGGGACCTCCAGCGTAAAATATTTTTCAAAAAAGAAAATAAAGATCAAGAGACACAGGACTACCCCCCTCCCCACCCCAGTAGCTCAAGGCACTGCCCCAGTTAGGGGAATCCCAACATGAGGTGGGGGTGATGGGGACAATCACAAAGTTGGCCCCAACTTCTGGTAGGGCTCTCTTGAAACTGCCACAGAGAACCCATTCCAAGCTGGGGAGGACAAAAAAGTGAACTCCCGGGCCTCCCCGGTGGCGCAGCGGTTGAGCGCTGGGTTGCGAAGCTGCCCGCAGCCTCTGCAGCGCCGGTTCGATCCCCGGCTGCT